CCGCCCTCGCCCACAGAGCCGGGGGTCTTCCTACTGCCTGATGACACTGCGGCAGCGCTTGCCCCCCGCCCCCCACCCGCTGGCCTCTGCCTCCCCTCTGCCTCCCCCCGCCGAGCAGCGGGCTCCCACCCCGCTGCCTGAAGAGGCGGAGCCCCAGCAGCCAGTCACTGCCGGCCCTTTATTATATTAGATTTTGGCCCTTAAGGGGAGACTTTAAAAAATGTTTAGTGCTTAAGAATTCAGCTAAGGATGAAGCAAGATTTTAAAAAATATTTAAGCTTCCAATGCCCATTGAAGTTAATGGGAGTTAGGCATCTGGGGCCAGATCCTATTCCACCTTTTGGGCATCTAGGTAGATTTAGGCATCCTTATGCAATTCTTTTTCATCCTGTTCAAGCTCCTGAAAACCTGTTAATGCAGGAGTGTCAACCTCATCCAGTCTGCAGGCCAGATCCAGCCCATGGACACATTGGCAACACACAGGGGGTGCACACAGGTGCACGTGCACCCCCTGAGATTGGCTGTGCACCCCCTGGGAGTGCCAGCCACAAAACTGGAAGTGCTGGTGGAGGTGCACTTCTGGTTTCACTGGTTTCATCTCTGGTGGTTCTGTGCTCGGCAATCAGCCATTGGGGGACCCCTCACCCTGGCTAGCAATCAGCCGCTGGGGGAACCCCCACCCTGGTTGGTGATTGGCTGTTGGGGGATCCCCCCACCCTGGTCAGCAATCTATCACTGGGGGATCCCCTGCCCCCCAGTCGGGGATCAGCCACTGGGGTAAAGTCGGCAATCTGGTGCCCCCCCAGACTCGGGAGGCACCAGTTGCCCATGCATGGACCCCTTCCCCCTCTTCTTCCCTAGCATACCTGATCTAGCAGGTGCTCCATCTGATCTGAGACCCATGCTGCACAGATTCCAGAATGGCTGGACTTGGCACTGTGTGTGGCATAGTCCAGCCAGCCAGAGCAGCAGCTGTGCTGCATGCAGTGACTGCCCTGGCTGGGCTGCACTATATATGGCACCCACCCCAACAACTCTGGGACTGCACCACATGCAGTGCCTGCTCCAGCCAGTCCAGGACCCACGCTGCATGTCCAGACCAGTTGGCGCACGTGCTGTGTGTGGTACACTTCCCAGAGCAGATGCCACATGTGGCACAGTGTGGCCAGGATGACCACTGTGCAGATGCAGGTCCCAGACCCACTGGATCAGCTACTGAATCAGGTGTGGTGAGGGAGGGGGAGGGGAAGTAGGGAAAGGAGAAGGGGTCCATGGGCCAGATCTGGCCTGCAGACTGACCCCACACCACAGACACGCTGTGCCCTATGTGGGTCAAATCAGACCCAGAGGCAGTACCAGGAGCCACATGGTGGGGCTTTGACCCATGGGCAGTATTTTTGACATCCCTACATTAATGCAACTGCTTTTGTAACACCTTTCACAAAAAAAGCAGTGATGACCCCTGCCCCCAACTTTTGTATTAACTTTTTTTCAGGGATTTGAACAAGGTAGAACAGAATCACATTTAGGCACTCAAGTCCATTTAAATGCCTAATAGATAGACAAAACAGGCATTTTTTGCTAGAGACAGAATCCTTTTTCATTTTTTGTGCTGAAATGGTAATGCTTCAGCCATCTCTGGCCATTTTTGGCCCTGAATTTATTCTGTGCCTGCATAAGTGTACATGTGGAGACTCAGCATACACAGTAGGGCTGTGCACTAGCTGAGTATATACAAAGGTAAGTATGCACATACCTGAGCATAAGGCCCAGAAAAAATGCATGGGGGGGAGGAGAATTTCCTCACATTTTAGCCTCAATAGCAGAGTGATTAAGACGCTTGCCCAGGAAGCAGAAGACCTGGGTTCTGTGTGTCCCTCTTGCCAGTTTAGACTTCCAAGGAGAGTACTCTCTTCACTATCAAGCAATATCTAAGACTCTGTCCTGCACTCCTGAGGCTAAGCCACTGCCTCTTGCATTTAATAGTAACTAAGAAAGCTTCTGGCACAGTAAGAGCAAGAGTCCAGGCTAAAATCTATGACCTGCTTCCTTCTAGGGCCAGCAGCCTTCTCACTGATACCATCTAATTTGGTCCCTTCCTCATGGTTCTGAATTTTTTTTAGCTGTCCAGAGAGCCAAGTGCGGGGGATCCAAGTAATACCTACCCCTGTGTTTCCCAAACTTCTGATACCTGGAGCACACTTTTTTCTGGATTAAAATTGGTAGCACACTTCATTCTTACAGCAGAAAAGGTATAAGTGTGTCTTTGTGTGTGGATATATTTTTTTTCCCAAAACATTCCCCTGCCAAAGGAAATCATACCAGTGACATGCTTTCAAAAAATTCTGTAAAATACATCTTTCTTTAAGCAAAATATTAGCTTCTATACCAGTGATTCTCAACCTTTTTACCCTCAAGGCTCCCCTCCATAATTTTTCTGAATGTCATGGTACCCCAACTGCAGATGTGCACTGAGATAGATCTACATTCAGAAAAGATATGGAGGAGAGCCTTAAGCTGGTGCCACTTAAGGGCAACAGGAGCAGGACCTCACCCTGCCATGCCCTGCTCTTTCTGTTGTCTGCCCCTCCCAAACCCTGGTCTATACCTGAGGAGACAAGAGCAGCCCTTACTGCTGGTTGTATGCCAGTGCCCACCCAAAACCCCTCCTGCTGGCCGTGTGAGTGTAGGAGGTCCCCCCATGTAGCACTGCAAGCCAGCCCTGCCACCTGTCACCTCCCAGCTGTAGCCAGCTCTGCTCCCATCCTGTCCTCCCAGGTGAGACCACCCCTCATGCCCTGGGGTTGGGGCTGAGGCTGAGGCTCCTCCTGGGGGAAGATGGACCCCTGGGCTACAGGTGAGCGCAGCCTGCATAGCCCTGGCAGGGAGCTGGGGCAGGCTGGAGAGGGCTACTGGGCTTCCTCAAGCTTTGTGGGGGCAAGCATAGGCAGAAAGGGGTGGAAGGCAGGAGGATTTGGGGTGCAGGTGGCTCTTGAGAGGCATATTGGGGTGTAGGCAGGAGCTTCCTTATGATTTGAGGGGCATTTGGGCAGTGGCAGGGCTCTGCTGGGGGTTGGGGTAGAGGTGTCCTCCCTTGGCTGACTGTCCTGCTGGCTGATCTTTTTTTCCCTGGGGAAAAAGACTTTATTTTGAGCTATTATGCAATCTTCTCTGTATACACTACTCAAGAAAACATAAATCAGGGGGAAAAATTAATCAAATTAAATATGTCATAGCAGATGTTTGATTTTTTTGCATATGGTTTGTTTTTATCAAAAATGTGTTAAAATGATAACTTCACCACTGGTTTTATATGTGCAGCCCTCAAATCTCACCAAAATCCAGCCAAAATAATTGACTACACCTAATTTATCTCCTCACATGGGGGATCTTATGGCACATTTCCATCATTCTAGTGTGTTGTGGCACACCTTTTGGCCATCATTGGCCTAACACATGGTTTAGTGACTAGTGCAACATGCTTGGAAGTCAGAGAGGGGAAGGTTCAAACTCACCATACACGCGAAGGGTTTAGAGCCTGTATCTCCTGCTTCCAAACCACTTAAGTACTGGGGTAAAAATGGGGAGCTGGGGGCTCTTCATCCTCTGGAGTCTAGCATCCACTAATTATGGGCTTTTGGAAAGCTACATTTTCATTACTTTGTCACAGGTATGTGTCCAGAATGGATGTGTGTACATAGCCACAAAGTTGCCTACTCAGTGCATAACCTAAGGCAAGTATGTGGCTATATACATATATCCATTCTGTCTAAGTGTGCACACTTACACTTCCTATACTTCCACAGTCCAGGGGGCAGTAGGTTCACAACCTGCATGTAAGTGCCAGAAATTCCACTGACACATTTAGAAAGCTAGATGCACAAAAGGAAATTGAATTCCACCGTAGGATCTTACCTACATTTGTAGGCAGTGAACTACCTTTAAAAAACAGGTGCTTAATGATTGTTTTTCTTGAGAAACCCCAAAAAAGAGAGACCTTGGAAAATGCCTTAGCTCCACAGTGCTTTATTGACAGGTGTGCTTATAAGAATCAACATTGTTTGGTGCTTTATACTTGCTGATAAAATCCCTATCATCCAACCCAGGCCCTGCTCCAGTTTCTGTCCTTGTGCAGTGGTAATTCTGTGTTTGTTTTGTTTCTCCTTAGCTCACAGAATGGAGAAGAAGGTGGAGCCTGGCCAAACAACCAGTTTGATACTGAAATGCTTCAAGCCATGATCATGGCATCAGCAAATGGTCAGTATCTATTAATCATAAGCTAATTGCAACATTTTTAATAATACAGACATTTAACGTGAATGCATTCAGAAGTTTTGCACTGGAACTATCCATAGTTTACACTGACTGGGCAGACTGCAATAATTTCTAAAGTACTTCTAAGAAGATACTGTTTGAATACCATTCACTACTGTATAAGCATGCAAAAGAGATGTGAATCAGGCATGATTAACACAGCTGGTATGAAATAATCATTATGCTTCCATTGTGTTGTAGGGCAATAGCCTGACAGCTGAGTGTCTTCAGCAACCAAATTATAACTACTACACGCTAAAGAAAATGGGGCATGATTCATAAAATAGTGCTACTGAATAGAAGACCCAGGGCTTGGGGTGCCTTTTGTCTTTTAAAAAATGTGTATTTATAGCTGGATAGTAAGCTTGATCCCAAAAAGAACAAATTCAGTGCCTGATTCAATGCATCCATAGTTTCATAGTTTGTAGGGTCGGAAGGGACCTGAGCAGATCATCAAGTCCAACCCCCTGCCATGGGCAAGAAAGAATGCTGGGGTGAAACGACCCCAGCTAGGTGATTATCTAGCCTCCTTTTGAAGACCCTCAGGGTAGGAGTGAGCACATGCAAGAGGATAAATTTGCATTGAGACTTTGATGGAAGAAGCAAGGTTGGTAGGTGTGGTTGTGGATAGAAATAGGGCAAAATCACAGTAGTAGGGAAACAAGAATTGCCATTCTCATCTGTCTTTCCTGGAATCAAACTAGCACAAAGTACTTCAGAAGAAGATATAAGGTTGGTGTGCAGTCTATTCCCACATATATACTTGTGTGTGTGTATGTGTGCATTTTATCTGAAGTGGAGAGAGAGAGAGAGAGAGAGAGAGAGAGATATGCATACATGTTTCAATAAAGGTCTACATTTACAAAACTAAACCTCCTTTTTTTAGTATTTTTGTACCTACTTTTGTACCTAATTTGTCATGGATAGACTTAATCCTTGGTCCCTACTCATATATCTCAGCATTATTCTAGTTGTTAGTTCATTGCAAATACTGAAGTGCAGGCACATTTATATTGCTGACAAAGAAAGGCTGATGCATGACTGAAAATCTGCCTCAACATCTTTCATACAAAAAACGAGAATCTTGGTTCCAAAATGATACCTTTTATTAGACCAGCTGGAAAATGGCAAGAAAATTGTCCTTTTTTGAAAGCTTTCAGGATCAAAGTCCCTTCGTCAGGCCCTGGGAAAAGTGTAGATGATACAAGATGGTAAAAAGTCCCCATAGGTAGGAAATAAACTTCATTTTTGCACAGAGGGAGCTGAAAATGGAAGGCTGTCCCTCTGGGTACATGAGAGTGTCTTTGTCAGCTGTGTTGAGTAGCTCTTTGATGTGTTGATCAGGTAGAATTCCTTCCCTGGACGTGTCAGATGGCAGGCAGAGATGTAAAAAAACTTTCTTGTTCTGCAATGAAGTTTAAAATCCAAAATCGGCCAACATTTGGCATATTCCATGTTTCAGGGGTGTACAACATCTTTCAAGTATTTCTGTTGTGATTATTATGATTCTGGTGGTTGGGAAGAGAATGGTTTGGAGGATTGTTTGGTTCTGGTTTTGGTTTTATTTTTTGTTTTGTTTTACATTAGTGGCTATTTTTTGTGAGAACGATAGAAACTACAGATGTACTTTTGTTGCTGTATAATCTGGTTTCATTTTTATTGAAGAAACAAAAGGCATTAAAACACACAATTGAAGATAGAGGCTACCTATTTTACTTAATGTCTTTTTTTACAAACATCATCAAGTCTTCTCTCTCTAAATTGTAAAAATAGAAATAAAAGAAGAGCCATAAAACACTGACATTCATTTTAAAATAGGGAGAAAAAAACTCAACATAACCATAATGTGCAGACTAAAATGCTTAGTATATTTTTTTCACATTCTTGGGAGAACAATTCTGAGACTGTGGTTTAAAATTGGCCTTGCTTCTTTGGAGAGCTGCCTCAGTTTGAACTTTGTCACTCTGAAAGCCTCTGTGCAGACACAGTGCAGCCCAAGCAAACAGCTGCTGCAGTCAGTTAAGGAAATGAGGGTCCTTGGGCATTGGATTTGTTTGCTTTTGTATATTTTTAAGAAGTGAAACCATGTAAAAATGTGGTTCTGTTCTGAAAAAAGACCCTGTAAAGATTGCCTCAGGGGCACCATATGGTTACCATAGCTCACTGACTCCGGATCAAATTTCCTTGTTTTAAAAATAAAATGATTATTTTTCTAAATGCCATCCATGCAGTCCCTACAATTTAAAAGCCAAGTGAAGTATTTCCAAACTGTGCATCACTTTACATGTAACTGGACACGTCTACACAAGATGTTTACTGCAGAGTTGAGTAATTAGCTCAGCAGTAAAACATCACTGTCTACATGTGCAGTGCTATTAGGACGGAGTAAACTAATTAACTCTGCTGTAGGAGAGTACTGCCAGCCACAAGTACTATCCTACAGTGGAGTTATTTACTCTGCTGCAATGCATATTGCATATTCTGCTGACAGGCTGGATGAACACAAGGGTGCTTCCCTTGTGCCCCAGAAAACCCCTTCATAGCACATTGGGCTGGGTTGGAGTAGCCCCAGGCTGGCAGGCTGACCCCTAGGGCCCCCTGCTAGCTGCAGTTGCACTGCTCTGGCTCAGTGTCCAGCAGTCCATGTAAACGCTGCACATGGGAGCGATAAACTCCTTTGTGAACTGCACTGGAATTTATTCAGACACATTAATGTGTAGATGTGCCCCCTAAGAGCAAACAACCTTGTTTTGGCAAATCTCCTCTGCTGCACATGATAAACTGGTTTGTATCATTTTTGCCATTGGACTTAGTCATAATGTCCTGCAGTGATGGCTTAGAGCCCTTGAACAAGCACAAGCTTCTGAGATCTGTTCCATCCGTTGGTGCAAAGTAAAATGCTGTCTCTGAGTATTACTTTGTTAACAGGTACAGGGCCAGGACTGCCTACCTCCATCTCTCTTTATTTGGCATTTGGCTGGAGACTAGGAGTAGGAGTTCCTGTTCTCACCAAAGTACATGGAATTCAGAGTAAAGTCCATGATTAATGGATTTTTCAATTTACTGGCAATTCTGGCACTGGGGAGAATTGCTCGGGGCCAGCACAGTTTTGAGTTTTTTTAATTTTCAGTTTATTCTAATTCACTTTGGATTTAAAAAGTCAAAAATATTAGTTCGCATTTGAACATTTTGATTATTTTTAAGTATTTTAAAATAAAATTCAACAGAAATTTTGAAACAAAAATAACTTTCCATCTTTCCATAACCTTCCAAAACATAGTTTTTGCTACTGCACATTAGGGGAGCCTAATGCTCATTTAGTTAATACCTCACATTAGAGGTACTAAATTTAATGTGCAGTAGCAAAGCGCATTAATGAATGTGTAGATGCATCTGGTGTGTGCTATTTAAACGTGCTAGAGTCTCATTTACTTCAGCAGCACTATCCACATGCTTAACATTAAGCATATGCGTAGATGCTATGCTGGATGAAAGCCAGTGTGGGAAGAGGGCTTCTTGTACTGTGCATAATCTGCCACCTTCTAGGCTAGAAGGGGAAGGGTGATACCTCTACAGGGGTATGCCCCTCCTCTTGCTTAGGCTTCTACAGAATCCCTTCTTCCATGTAGGAGGTGACAGAGCAGTAAATTGGCCATGCTGTGTAGATTCAATCTGCTTGGGAGTCTGTACAGTTTACTTGCACTGACTCCCTCTGGGCTCTGTTCAAGGCTGCCGGTCGGTAGCTGCAGGACAACACAAACAAAAGTATCAGTGCACCAGGAATTTCATGCTCACAGGCAGAGGCATTACACCAAGGCGTGAGCCCTGGACAGCAGCAGTGACAGTGGTGGCAGCTGGGCTGGGAGCAGCACTGTTGTTGTTCATGTGGCCCCTCCAAAGCTGCCTATACACATGCTTGGAGGTGGGGGGGAGGCATTTTAATTAGAGCAGTTCCCAGACAGCCGCTCTAATTAAAATGTCTCACTGTCACATGTATTAAGCCCCCCAGGTGTTTCAAAATGGATGCAGGGGCCCCTTATCTAAAGCTCATTTGATGAAGTTTATTTAAAGCACCCATGCCACCATTTTGAAATGTGAGGGGTTTCATATACATGATAGTGAGGTGACACTGGAGCATTCTAAGCAGGAAATGGAGCAGACTTGATTAATCACATCTTCTCTGATGCACTCTAATTAGAATGCAAACGAACACGTCTATAGGCAGCCTAAAAAGAAGCTTAACTGCTGCCAAGAGTTAAATTAATCTAGTGGAGTTTAGCAAAAGTGACCCTAGCTCTGTAGTCTGGCTTTGAGGCCCCTTCCCCTGCTCCCAAAACGTCTCTACTGTTGACAGGAAGCTGCCCCACGGTTGCAGGGTCAGCCTCCTGGGCTGCATATACATGAAAAGGGGCACACATTTGCAGCAGCACAAACAGTAGTGGCACAAATTTGTGCTGCTACTTTGTGCTGGAGTGCACATTCCTGCTCTTGCACTTTCAATGGGACACACTGTCCCGGTGTTCCATGTGCTGCAGGGGGCGTGCTGGCTGGGTCACATGGTGCCCTAGTACAGAGCAAGCTGGCAAGCAGCCTCTACAGCCAGCTAAGGGATTACTGCTCCCTCCTCTCAAGGCATGCTGTGCCCCAGCCACCTGAGTGGCTGGCTGGGGTACAGTATGCCTTGAGATAGAGGCTCCACATGCCTTAGCATGGGGGCTCCACAGTGGAGCCCCTGTATTGAGGCACGCAGAGACAGGGGGGCCCAGGGCTGCTTTCTCCCCCATCTCAAGGCAGCCCTACATGGCACTTTGGAATGCATTGTGCCACTTTTTTTCCAAGTTTTTGTTTGTTTGTAACCAGGAAATCCCGGTAGCAAATTTTGCTCCAGTGCTGCAAATTAGCATGTGCCTACATGTCTGGGTCCAGCCCTGGAGTTCTGCTCT